ATGCTCTCCCGATAGGCGCTAACCACGTCTGCCTTGTCATGCATCAGTATTCCACCAAGCTGTGCAGAGCCAGCCAGTCTGTCCGCATGTTCATTTCCCAACACACCGGCGTAACCCGGTGAAAAAATCCAGACAATACTCCTCACCTGTGTCCTCCGCAGCGAGGCATGCCACTCTGCGCGAAGCATACCTTTCTGATCTTCCTCAGCATGCTTTCTGAGTCAGTTACAATCACGATGTGTGTGTGTGTGTCGTGTTCTCTAGCCAGCGGAAAGCTGCAGTGACCGCCTCCACCTCCATTCTGTGCTGGATGTTGTTGTATCATATGCTAGGCTCTCCTGCACCAAACGTCGACCGTTGACTTTTGCTAAGAAGTCTGGAAAGATAGGAAAATTCCAACAACTTATTAAAAATGCTTCAATGACAGGAGACGACAGAGACAGATATGCAAAATAATATAAGCTACAACAACTTTATAAAAATATCAGTGACAGTATATGCGCCTGAACCTGGGGACCAGACAACCTGCTTCTTTTTTTTTTTTACGGACCAAACACCAGAGAACAAAAAGAGAATTAATATTTAGTGCGGTACTACTATGCGTCTCTTAGAAACACTTCCTGTAAGTTTGTTTCTTGTATTATTACAAATACTTGAATACTTAATATAATTCATTGCGCAAATCCCTTAGCCTTGCAGGTAATCTGTGCAGTTAATTTAGAACTATGCACTAAACACTCTTGAATATATAGTGTAGCACTTCAGTAATTAGTTATTGATATTAGGATTTACAGTTTTTGTTTATGGTAAACTTTACCCGCACCCAGCTGTTGAGTCGGCCGCAAAATTAAAATTGTCCACAGCCAGAATTGAACACTGGGTATCTCAAAATTACAAACTCTGTTCCCTACCCCTAAGCCAAGTATAGTTCAATCATTTTGTAAAAGGTTCAACAAACCAATAGAAAGCTTTATTGCCTACACAAAGATGCTCATGAATAAATTGGAAAGTTTATACAAAAGAAAAAAAAATTGGGCTCTACTGGCAAATTTGGCCGGTAAGGTGGACTGATTCGGCCGGCTTAGCGGGGCTTAGTGGGAGTAATGTCCCTTGGCCAAACTCAAAACAACTCAAAACAAGTCGCGGAAAAAGTCACGAAACAAATGACATACTTACCTATCATCATCCGGGTGCGTGTAGGGTTGCGTAGGGTGTCTATCATCGTCCTACGGTTGCGTGTAGGGCTGCTTTTTGCGTGTAGGGTTGGTTGTTTGCGTAAGATAGATGAGAAGTAGGGTTAGGGTTTAGGGGTTAGGGTTTAGGGGTTAGGGTTTAGGGGTTAGTGTTTAGGGGTTGAGGTTAGGGTTTAGGGGTTAGGGTTTTAGGGGTTATGGTTAGGGTTTAGGTTTAGGGGTTAGGGTTTTAGAGATTAGGGTTAGGGGTTAGGGTTTTAGGGTTTAGGGTTAGGGTTTAGGGGTTAGGGTTTAGGGGTTAGGGTTTAGGGGTTAGGGTTTATGGTTTTTGGGTATGGTTCGATTTGAAAATTTTCACGTAGGAGGTCTAAATAGTGGCCGACAATTTAACGTTTGTGGGAGTGGCGCCACTGAAACTCTGTCAAATATGACGACGCCAATAGCGGGCGGCTGGTGCCCAGTCGCTGGCGAATTGATCGTGTCACCAACATCCACAGGCCCTCGATTGTTTGTGTGTGTATGTGACTGTGCGCGACGTCGACGACGTTGGTCTGGTGGACTACTACCTCGTGCAGATAGATAGCATGCCTTACGTTTGCGACGTTGCTTTAGCTTCGCCCTAAGCCTAACCCCTAACCCTATACCCTATACCCTATACCCTAACCCCTAACCCTAAACCCTAACCCTAAACCCTAACCCTACACCCTATCCCAAACCCTAAACCCTAACCCATAACCCTAACCCTAACCCTACACCCTAACCCTAACGCTAAACCCTAACCCTAAACCCTAAACCCTAACCCTACCCCTCATCTTACGCAAACAACCAACCTACACGCAATAAGCAGCCCTACACGCAACCGTAGGACGATGATAGACACCCTACGCAGCCCTACACGCACCCGGATGATGATAGGTAAGTATGTCATTTGATTCGTGACTTTTTCCGCTCGTTGTTTTGAGTGCGGCCACGGGGACATAACTCCCACTAAGTCCCGCTAAGCCGGCCGAAGCAGTCGACGCATTCCAGCTTACCGGCCAAATTTGCCAGTAGAGCCAAAAATTGTTTGGCCGATAAAAATAGAGCTATATTTTCTTCTTATTCTTTGTTAACACCACTGTAAACTCCAGCAGAAGTTTCTGGTAGTTCCTACACTTCTGGATTCTAGTCCTCCCCGTGTGGGTTCCGGAGCCCTATTGTGGGGAAAGCAAGAATAGACCCACTGCCTACCAAAAAGCCTGTCGTAAGAGTAGACTAATGGGGAGCATCCTTTGAAGTCACAGTGCATCTGCCTGAGAGGCAAGAAACCAACAGTCTGCATTCAAGTGAATCAGATCTGTAAAACGGATGCACACGCAACACTCAGGTTCTGGAGCAGGACTGCAGTTCAGAAGTGGACGAACTACCAGAACTTTCCACCAGAGTGTACAGCTGGTGAACATGAAGAAAAAGAAGGATTCTAGTCTTGTTCCATAACTTGAGTTTTGCGTGCACATTTTTTTAAAATTACAGATCTGGCTTATATATTCTGTCAGGACATACTTTATTATCTACTTCCGATGGCTCATTAGGTAGGCCAGCTAACAGTCTTAACTACTCTAGGACACAGAACACACACCTACGGAGCACACACATAATCTTTAATGTACAAAGAAGAATTTAACTTATAGCAAATCTCAACAAAAGTGGCCGTCCTTATCCGAAACACCAGCGTTGATAGTTTATATATTCACTAAATCAACCAGCGTTGATAGCTTTTATATTCACTAAATCCACCCGAGCCGTTCCCATGGACATACCAAGGACTTGATTTGACCTCACTGTCGTACAGCACTAACTAAGCTGCCGTCCACGCCATGCGGGACTCAGTGACACACGTAAGGTTAATGATCTAAGTATGAGTTGGCAGTGCTAAAGCCATCCACAGTGCGTGTCAAAAATTAACTACCTGCTTGACAGATACTGTGTGGAACGTCTACTATACAAGAAACATTAACACTGCACTATCTCGTCAAAACACTGTATGGAAACACAACATATCTAAATCCTTACCACAGATACTATTCTTTCTAACTGTCACTAATCTAAGATACGTTTACCGTCGCAGTCCTACATCTGTCCAGTCCATTGTCCTACTACACGTTTCCCCCGAACAAGCTCTGTCCAAGCCTTTTGTTCCTCTTCAGCGTTCATTTCTGACATGCTGTAGCTCGTGTTACTAGTGGGGCACAGGGCTTAGCCCAGCTCAGTGACACAGCTTATTCCGTGGTCAAACTGCCCAATCTCGCTCTGAGTTTGACTGAGGGTTCATACGTGATGATTCACTATCATCACACCTACTCATCTAGTAGCCAAACTGGCTTCTGACATGTGCGCAGACTGTTCATTCCTTGCCTCTCAAAGCCAAAGTCCAAATGGATAACAGCCAGGACTTTCCACCGGAGTTTACAAATGTTGAACAAAGAAGAAGAAGAGGAAGATCAGACATCTGAGAAGGAGTGCCAGAGAAAGTAGCTGCATTTATCTTCACAACAATCTTTCATTTTATTGTGATAAAAAAGTAATCTTAGATTTGCATGGGTTCTTTTTCAGGGCACATTTTAACTCTTTCATCCCCAGGGATTTATACTTTTTTTCCCCAAGTATATGAGCTTAAAAGCTTTAAATACTCTGAATTTAAGAATTTAATAAAGACACTATGGGAGAGAAATAGTAATTAAGATAGAAAGGATTGATATCATATATGTCAGTAATAGAAGTATTTACGCACTTGACACTGCAGACTCACCAATCACTCATTTTTGTATAATGATCCAGACTGCTCTCTGTCAGTTTTTTCATCCTGAACAGACCTATAGCATGTCCTGCAAGACTGTTCTCTCCTGAAGGTGTTGCAAAACAACATGCAGCTACACCCAGTAGACTTGACAACTAAGCTTTGAGGGCACCTAAGAGACGCCCAGCTGACATTCCAGTTTATTGTCCATGGTGGATTAAGCACATGACCAGAGATTGCTGAAGAAGAATTAATAGTAGAGAGCAGGAACATTGTATTATCTTTGGAATAACAAACAATCAGATGGTGAATTCTTTGGAACTGAAATAGTCCAAAATGCAACATCAAAGTAAATGGGACAATCCTCAAGCAAGCTGATATGTTTAAGTAATTGGGTGCCCTGATGACATCAGAAGGAAGATGTATTAAAGAATTAAATGTATAATAGCTCAAGCAAAGGTAGGATTTTACAAAATGATGAATATTTCATGCAATCTTTCTTTGTAGTTGAGACGAGAAATATAATTCCTAAAAGCTATATAAATCCTATCTTGATATACAGGAGTGACTCATGGACAGTTGGTAAATTAATGAAAACTTATTTGGATGCTGCAGAGATGTGGTTTTATAGACAAATGATGAGAATACTCTGGGCTGATAAAAAGAGTAATGAAGATGTCTTGAAAGAAACTGACTCACGAAGAAAACTGATTGCCCCTGTCAGAAAGAGACAATCTATATTATTTGGTCATGTGATAAGCAGAAGAAAAATGCAGTACATCGAGGCGGTAGGAAAGTTGGAGGGGAAGAGAGGCTGAGGGATACTGGAAGAAAATATGCTGGACACTTTGACATTATGGCATGGAGGATCATCTGTGTCAGAGTTGATTGAAAGTACACAAGACAAAAGGCTATAGATAGACATGCCTACCAATGCCACACGGCACAGACTTTAAGAAGAATAAATAGTTAAACAATACTGAATTCTATCTTATTGAAAAGTGCATATCTATACTTAATATTAATATCAGATGCAAGCAGGAGTAGATGTCATATCAATGAGTGTCAAGATCTACCTCTACTATGGTCCATATGAAGCTGCAGGAACTGTTGAATACAGACAGTTTAGGTTGCAAGGACTGAAAAGTAAGAACCTCTGTGTACCTTATTGTTTTAATTTTTGTTAACATAGTAAAACTTGCCAAAGGGTAAAACGTTGCTATTTTAGCAGGCCCTGGTGTGCAACTGTTATAGGAGAGATTATTTATTTCCTAGTCTGCTAACATTTCAAGTACTGAATATTTTATGTTTGCTTTTGTCTGTAGCTGTTGGTGTTTGCTTTTTTAAAGCATTATGTGTTTCCGGTCTTAACAGTGCTGATAGAATTGCTTTTTTCTTTTCAATGAAATGAAGTGAAAGCAACAGGCTGCCTTAGGAGAAGATGGATTGATGACATTAAAGAGCTTCTACATCAACACAGAATGGCAATAGCCAATGCTGCCCATCAAGTAATGGATTGCAAACTATTCCTCCCCACAGCGCTTAACGGCAGAAGTGGAAATTGATGATGATGATGATAGGAGAGATGTTTCGACAGGCAGACGGAGCATTGTTCTTTTGATTTGATAGCTTCTGCAGCATGCTTTGTTCCAAATTTATTGGTGTTACCTTTCCTGTGATGTAAACAAGGCATTGCCCAGAGAGATGATGCTGCATGGGCAATGTCTTTACAATACTGCCCAGGCTTTTTGATGTGGAACTTGCTACTCATCTCACTGTCACCGTGAACTGTGATTCCCATGCCTCTTTATAGTTCATTACAGTGCAGACCTGATAAGGAGAACTCAACGGGGACCCAGCAAATAGTTCTTCTTATCAGAAATTCGTCTTTTCCAGATAATAATTTAAACGAGAAAAAGAACAGGGGATAAACAGTTTGTTCTTCAGAACAGAAATGTATCTCAACCGAGATGGCCTCAAGTGATCTGCACTGTATAACACTAACTTGTCTGGAATGAATGAATGAGATTCAGCCCCACCAGGACATCCACCAAGCGATAAACACCCGGTGACACAAAGTACCACCATGCGGATGAGGATCACCCAGGGAGAGGTCCCAGAAACCCTGTTTAAACTTTAGGTTATATTAGGGCCCCAACAACAGCCGGGGTGGGTCTTTAAAATAACTTGGGTCATTAAAATAACTCAAAATTGAGTCCTGTATTGAGACGACAGATGCTTACAATTCTCTGTTGTCTGGAAAGACAGAAAGGTACAAGCCAGTCTTGTAGTACATATTTCTGTCTGGGTTGTGAAGTATTTCATAATAGTAATGTCCAAGTCCTTCTATGAAAAAAAAATCAAAAACACAACCAAAAGTCAGGAGATGTGAACCTGCTGTTAGCTTCCCAAAGATGCCAACAGTCCACAGTTATATTTGTGGTCTGGTTTATTTGTGCTACTTTTTTTGGCTAAAGTTGTGTTATTTGCCCCAGTTCTCTGGCTGAATTCTTCTTTCCTCCAGGTCAGACCACCCAATCCTTTCCTCTTTCCAAATGTGTTCCTCCTGCGCTTATGTTTATGGTGTTTTCGTCTTGGTTCAGCTTCCTTGTAATTTGGCCAAGCATAATAGTAACATGTTCATGCTCTCTTTATAGCAGCTAGTATTTTTGCTTGCTGGCCTGAAAGTATTATGTTTGAATCCCCATTACCTGGAAGACTAACACATTTAACAAATTCCATGAAGAAGTCGGGTTTGTCTGCTGAAAGATGCAAATATTGCAGCGTGCTGTAAATGGGCACAGCACAGTTATGTCCTTGGATGAATGCAAAAGAATAAGAAGAATTATCTTTATGTGTATGGTTTTCATTCAACGTATTATAGGTCACAGCATATGAGGTCAGGTTGATGTGAAAGGGGTGGGGGTTGCTTCATCATAAAAGAATGACAGTTTTGTGGCACCCATCTGTATAAGGCTGAGTTGACCTCATCCTCATGGGGGATTTAGGCCCAATTGTGTCACAGGAAAGTCCAACATTTTAGAGGGTGGTAAGACTGGGTTACCTGGCTTTCTGATGCTTTTAACGACCCTAAAAAATCTAGAACTGGCCCTAACCCCAACCCACCTTCGTCCAACGACTGCATGCAGCCTAGGTCCGACGACTGCATGTGCCTAGGTCCCACGACTGCATGCAGCTTATCTAAAACCCCCCTGAAATATTAGACTGTCCCGTAACGTGTGGATTTCCCCCCTGTCTGGGATAGGATATTAATAAAGCACCTAACTTTCTGCTGGAGTTTACAGCCAGTGAACACAAATAAGTTGACCTCATAGCCATATTTATCCACACACATACAAAAACACACCCTACTTCTGCTTAGGATAGAATCCAAATGACTGTGTTGGTAGGCAAGTACACTACCCACTTTGTCACTACAATTTTTCTACAAAAGTAGAGGAATCTGCTGGGCTCGTATGTTATGGACCAAGTGGCACTCAGTGGCTGATACTGTCAGCATGATGGTGATCACCATTACTTTCCTAGATATTACCTGGTACCAATTTTAAGCTGGATTAACCTTAAAGTCAAAGTCAGTTATTCAAAAATCTGCCACGATGCAGACTCAGACCCAAGACATTCAGGCTAACAGGTAAGCATCTAGCCACTACGCTTTTGACACTTATAGTTATTAAATTGTCTCCCATGCAGCTGCTGAAGTGATACTTCATACAGTGTCACCAGAAATTAAACCTAGTTCTTCACTTGGAATATTTTAAACCCTGTCAGATCAGTACCGTTGTGTGAAGCAGAAACATAGATAATGACTAAAATAGTTACTTCTTCTCATAGTCAATGCCATGTGGCATTTGTAATCATGTCTATCCACATGGGCAGAGCAGATGTCATCAACGCTGCGTGGACTAGACTTGTGGATAATGACGATCTAGGACTCTAACATGATTGCGTGACATGGGAGTAAAGCATGGTGAAGCACATCTATGCCATCTTCGAGGCCGAGATAGGAAACAATTTGTAGAAATACCTTGGAGTGGCTGTTGCATTGGAGGACTGAGCACACATAGGAATGCCCAGTGTGAAGTGACGTCGACTGTGATAACATAACATGTCTATCCACAATCCTCTATCTCGTCTGCTTTGAGTCAGTGCTGACACAGATATCTTTCATGCAGCGATGTCAAACTGTGCAGCATCTTCTCTCTCAGTCTCCCCCTGCCTCTCCTCCCTCCAACTTTTCCACTCTACAATGTACTTCAGTTTTGTCATGAAAGAATGTTACTAACACTTACACTTTTTAAGTGGTTTTGCCTGAAATAGAAGGAATTAAATGTTATGATAGCATTACTATTGCAGAGCTTTTTGAGAGAACTAAACATGTTCTTTAAAGTAGAGAATTTATTAAAAAGATTCTGGTGCTGGATAGGATATGTATTGACAAAACTAAAAATACTTAACTCAAATTTCCTCACATTGGAAACTACAAGGCCAAAGATAAAGGGAGACAAAACAACTCAAATTTCCTCACGTTAGAAAATACAAGGCCAAAGATAAAGGGAGACAAAACAAAATAGTTCTATAATACACTTCTCGTCCTTTTCAGGATGAAATTTTTTGTTATTTGAAGCCCTACTCTGGCTCTTGCTAGGGGCCGCAATATAGCCTGGCCATAAATATGGCTTAAAGTCAGAACGAGGTTTCTGGGACCTCTCCACAATGATCCTCACCCGCATGGTGGCACATTGTGTCATCGGGTGTTTATCGCTTATGTGATGTCCTGGTGGGGTAGAAAGTCAGTCAGTCAGACAAAACAAAAACACAAAGAAGTTTTTTCCCCACCCACACAGTGCATCATATTACTTTTTTGTAATCACAGGGTGTCACAAGATAACTGTTTTATGCGGCTAAACAAGGAGGGTATCAGGGATTTGTTTCTGTTGGACTGGCATCCAGATAGTTGCTCCTCGAGTCACTTGGTATCAAACCTTCTGGCTGCAGTTTCAAAAGGGGGCTGGGGGAATAAATAAGCTGTTAACTCAAAACGAGAAAGGCAGAAGAAATAAAATAGGAGAAGACAGAGAGGAAGGTGAACAAGACGGCAAAGGATAGGAAGATTTTGTGGTAGCAGGCTAGGACCCTATGTTCTGTCATAGAATAAAAGGAAGAAGGAACAGAATGTCACAGGAGTAGAGTCTGTAGCCATTGATTTTGCATTTTAATTTGGTTATTGTCTACTTACGACTGATGCAGAAGTTCTGAACAACATGCGATGGCGCACTAAGATCAGGGGTCTCACCAGTCAAGACCTGTCTAAACCATTCAATAGTCATGCTATACACAGAAGGCTGAGTAGTCTTGAGGCATGGTGTCCACCTCGAGTGCTGGAGGTCCCGGGTTCAAGCCACGGTGAATGGTTGAATTTTTTCACGTGGACTTCTAGTATTTTTTCCTTCTCTCTGGGTAGTAAGATCAGATGCCCATGTGTATTGCTGCACACATAAAATATCCCTTGGTAGTTGGAAATCGAAAAAAGTAGCAAAATGGAGCTACCTGGGCAAAATTTGGAGTTGAAAATCTGCCAAAAGTATTTCAGGATTCCTGCCGGTGCTACTGAGTTCATGCACTGCGCTGAGATTCTTCTGACTCCGGCTTGAGTTAGAAGTAGAACGGAGCACTTATGGGTTACACTCGTGTGCCATGATGTTGATCTGTTGTGTGAACCTAGATACAGGTTCTGAACTGGGGACCTGGTCAATATAGACATGATCGACATTTCCTCTGATTTTGGAGGGCATTTGCCTGCAAGGTGCAAAACCAACAGCCAATAAGCCAGATCTGTAAAATAAATATGCAAGCAAAATTCCATTCCTGGAACAAGATCAAAGTCCAGAAGTGAACAAACAATCTAGACCTTACCCCCAGAGTTTACAGTCAGTAAACATGAGAAAGAAAAAGGAAGACATTTACTTAACCTTAGTTCTGTGTCCATTTAGAAAACATTGGTTAAACTGCTTTAAAACATTTTGAAAGATTTCTTTTAACTTTCAAATTAAAATGAACATGATTTAAGATTGCAGATGTTAAAATATTAAAACAGTTTCTTCCTTTTTATTGAAGCAATTTTAACAGAAGCTGGCCATATTGTAGAGCTGAGGCCATTCAGAGATTGGAATGTGGTAGAGCTCTGGGTAAATGGTGTGAAAATATTTTCGTGTGACATCAGGAATCTTGATTTTGGTATGTAGTAGCTTAACTATTTGATCTAAGAAAACTATGACATTTTATCATACTTGTGTTCATTTTAATATTATGTATTACATTGTGCAGTGAATAATTTAAATTCTACCTTTTGATATTGTTTTCTTTTACCTTTGATCTTTTTCTTCTTTTTCTCCTGCTCTGCCTATCAGTGTCAGGTTTTGAAGAGGGCCTTGGTATTTGCATTGTACCTGCTGGTATTTATGGCTTCGAATATGTCATCTATCTATTACTTGCTTGGTCAGCCTCTAGTCTGCTTCCATTATGTCTGAGTGATAGGGCTCTCTGTAGTGCACTGTCTGGTGGTAGTCTTGACATATGCCCAGACCATCTGATCTGTTGTCTCTTAGTGTAGTTTAGTACTGGTTCCATCCCAGCTTTTTTTTTCTCCCTCATATCATCATTTCTGATCCTGTCTTTTCTAGTTACATTCAGGATTTATGGGGAGGCACAAATAGATCATTACTGTCTGAGGAGAATGGTACTGCAGGGGAGTTACCAGGGGATCTGGCCGACGCTCAGCACTCAAAGAAAAGGCGTGACGGATGTACAGTCAGACAGTTACTGGTATCAATAGAAATTAAAACTTTTAGCTAGCTGCTTAAGATAGGGATGGAACGCTTATGGGAGTGTCCTGAGTGCTGTGATGTTGATTCTTAATTCAAAATTCAACATTTAGGATTTGTTGAAGAAATTTAATTTCTGTTATTTCAGTGTTCTATGATCTTCTGATGGAGTGTATGAACTTTACCAACTCACTCCAAGACTTTTGTAGACTTGTTCATTATTGATCAGACTTTTCAAGCTACTGGTTTCTACAGGATGGGGTATTCAGTCTTATACAATATATCAAATTTTCATCTGGTTTTCAGAGTCCAATTTTAGGGGAAAACAGAAAGCCCTCACTATTTTCTCTGCCTCTGACTACTCTCTTTTCCTCCATCCTCTCTCCTCATTCTCTTGCGTCCTCTCTCACTCTTTCTTCTCTCTCTCGGTCCAACCTTTCAGATTGTTTTTCTGACTGTCTCATAATAGGTTTTCCATTGAGTAATTCACAAAGCATGCTATATTTCTCCAAAAGGTGGCGATGGCAAGTTGGACCCCCTGTGTCAAGAAGCCTGTGATGCAGTCAAAAGAAACATGCAGATTCTTTAGTTAGTTAGTTTACAGATGGTGCAGAACCAACCCCAGCATTTTTCAGCTGTTGCAGTTTGTCTAGGCCAGTTTCTGTCAGTAGTTTGTCGTTGCTTCTGAATGGTCCACTCTTGATACCACCGCAAGGGGTCTACTGCCAAATAATCTGCAACTGGGATCAGACCCCACACCTCAGAATTAAGAAGCACATTTGCAAGGCCTAAGCCACAGTGGCCAGCATAGACCATCTCTAAATTTTAGCTCACTTGGACTCTTAACAAAGACATCATGTATTTAAAGTGATGATAGTGATGTTTGGTATAGGTTTTGCAAGTTAACAGTTCATTTCCTATTGGTGAATGATGATGAAGAAGTGTTTCCCATTAAAGATTGAGTGAAGTTATCCCAGGTTTGATTTTATGTGATTAATTGTTTAAATCAGTGTTTTCAAACTTTTCTTGGTCGCGACGTCTTTTTTCAATTAAAATTTTACCATGGCGCCCTAACCTAAGTAAAAGTATGACTTCATGTCTTGGTTAAATTAATTATAAAGCATTTACATTTTGCGGTGCCCCCGTGAAGAGGTCGCGGCTCCCTGCGGCGCGGTGCAGTTTGGGAATCATTGGCTTAAATGGTTGTTAGGTACCCTTATAATAAAGTATAAAGTAGCATACCTGATTGTATCTTCTTCTTTCATTGCAACCATTTTTAGAACTTACTTATATGTATGCAGACTGATGGTTCCTTACCTCTCAGGACCTCTTGCCACATTAGGGCCCTTGACCCCATACCTGGCCCTGATTGTAATAAGGCTTGTGTTTAGTTCTGATAAGGTCCACTCTAGCTTTATTTTCAAACACAAAAATGTGAATGTAATTATGACAGAAGTGTGAAAAATACTTGCACCACCAACCACCCACTGACAGTATGAATGAATCATCATCACCATTGAGTACCTTGCTAATTGGTGTTGGTGATTATGTTGTGCTTCCTTACATCTTGCAATTGTTAACAGCATGTATTTCTGGAGTACCACACATCCTTACATCATCATCATCAGTTCTCGTTATGCCTAGTGGCACATGAGGCTTCAGAGAGGACTTTCCAAGCTTTCCTGTCCTGTGCAATCTTCTGTGCAGTTTTCCATGTCAATGATGCCGCACTCAGGTCACTTTCCATCGTTCGTCTCCATGTTGTTTTTGGGCGCCCCTGTTTTCTCTTTCCCTCTGGTGTCCATGTGAGAGCTGTTTTGGCAGGTATATCAGAATTCATTCTCATAACATGGCCAAGCCATTTCCATCTTCTCTTGGTAATCATGCTGTCTAAAGTTTCTTGGTTTGTGGCTTGAAGTAGTTTAGTGTTAGAGATTGTATCTGGCCAGACAATTTTGATAATTCTACGTAGACATGTGTGGTGTAAGGTGGACAGCTTGTGTGCATCCTTTTTGGTCATTCTCCAGCATTCCGCTCCATAAAGAAGAACTGGCAAAATGATGCTCTTGTAGAGTCGGAGTTTCGTTCCTCTGCAGTAACTGTTGGATTTCCAGATTTGCCTCATCCTTCCAAAAGCTGCTCGAGCTTTGTTTAGACGTGACTGTATGTCCTCTTCGGTCCCTCCCGTTAGGGATACCACACTGCCAAGATATGTGAAATGTTCTAAATTTTCAAGAGTTTGGTTATTTATGGTCACTGGTTGTTGGTTTGGACTGATTGTCATGATCTTAGTTTTCTTTGTATTTATTCTCAGTCCCACCATTTCTGCTGTGCTGTGTAGTCTGTTACTTTTTTCTTGTAAATGTTTATGTTTATGTGATAGGAGTGCTATATCATCTGCAAAATCAAGGTCCTCAAGCATGGTGAATGGAGTTCATTGTATGCCTCTCAATGTTCTGTCTACTGTGTTCTTTAGTATCCAATCAATCACAAGGTTGAAGAGGAGAGATGTCATAACACATCCCTGTCTTACACTTGTCTTTACTGGGAAAGATGTATTGTAATTTTGTATGCTGCAGGAAAAGTCTTTATAGAAAAAAGCAATTATGTTGACTATTTTTTCTGGAATTCCATAATGTCGTAAAATTTTCCATAGACCGTCTCTATGGACGCTGTCAAAAGCTTTCTCAAAGTCCACAAAATTGATATATATACTTCTCTGCCATTCATTGCATTGTTCTAAAATGTTATGTATGGCGAAGATGTGCTCAGTTGTTCCTCTGCCCTTTCTGAATCCTGCTTGTTCCACTCGTAGGCATTTATCTACTCCTTTTTCAAGCCGCATTATGATGATTTTACAGAATATTTTGCTTGGTACTGAGAGTACAGTAATTCCCCTCCAATTATTGCAGTCTGTTAAATCTCCTTTTTTGGGGGATTTGGACTGTTGTTCCTTCAGTCCAGTCATCAGGCATCACTTCATTTTCCCAAATATCCTTTAACAATGGTTCTAGAATGCTAGCAGTTGTGTTGGGATCTACTTTGAGGAGTTCTGCTGGCAGTTCGTCTTTGCCTGGTGCTTTGTTGTTCTTTAATGTGTGGATAGCTTTAAGGATTTCTTATTTGCTTGGTGGTTCAGTAATAATGTCAATGTCCTGAGAGGCTGGTTGAATATCTGGGGGATTTTCAGGATCAGGTCTGTTCAAGAGGTCGGAGAAGTGTTTAGTCCACTGCATGTCTTGTTTTTGTTCTGTGGTGAGCAGTCTGCCTTGGTTATCTCTGATGGGTATGCTGTGATAATTGTTTCTGTTTCCGCAAATTTGCAGGTTAATTTTGTGTAGGGTTTGTAGATCATGTGCTTTAGCAGCATTTTCTGCTGTTTCTGCAAGATTTTCCATAAATCTTCTCTTGTCAGCTATGGCACTTTTCTTTGTCATTTTATTTAGTTCGCTATATTCTAACATTAGTTTGTCTTTCTGACGTTCTGATTTAGTGTGATTTATGAGGCTCTTTATTCTTTTTCGCTTGGCAATATAGTTCATGGTTTGACTACTTATCCATTCTTTGTGGTGTTGTTTCCTGGTTCTTAATATGTTATTGCTAGTTGATTTGTATGTTTCTTTGATCTGGTTCCATCTGTCTTGAATGCTGATTGTAGTTTGAGTGTCTGGGTCACTTGATAGGGTTTGAAATCTATTCTTGAGTTCTACTATAAATTTAGTGGCAATGTCTTTTTCTCTTAATAGGTTAACATTGTAGCGTGCTGTCTGTGTCTTAACTTGCATGTGAACTTTTTTGAGTATAAGTTGTAGTAGAGCGACTACAAGGTGGTGATCACTTCCCACATCTGCTCCCCTTTTGACACGCACATCGAGTAGGGACCCACACCATTTTCTGTTTACCATCACCCATCCTTACATGCCAGGGTTAAAAAAAATCTTTCCAGTTATCACATGTTCCATTAATTTATTCAAATATTGTGGCTAAGAATAATTACCATAAATGAATGCAAATTATTAACACTAAACAGAAATTACAGATTTTCATATTTAATACATAATAGAGTAATACATCATTAACATAAACTGGCTTAAGATGTTCACTCTGTTAACTTGGACACAATTTTCAGAATGATAGACTTGGGAGTTCAGATAGGCATAGCAAAAGACGAGATGCACACCAGGCACGCCAGTGGACTTGTTAATAAACATAGAACTGGTACTATTAGTCACCAGATGCTGGAGATCATACTGAGGGGAGGAACTGAGCATTTATAGACATGTCTGGAGTGCAATAATGATAACCCAACTAACTAACTAACAATTTTGGTCCCAGTAGGGATGTATATTCACAATACATCTTTTAGTCTCTGGTTTACATGATTTGTTTTATCACAAACTCATTATTTATGAGTTCCCTCAGAGTTCATGTTAATGAGGTTTTACTGTGTCTCACAACAGCATGTAGAATGCATTCTTTAAAATATAAATAGTCCACACACCCATATAAAAGTTGTGATTTCCTTTTTTCTGAACTGTGTTGTCTTGCTGTTTCGTTGACCTGTCTGTATTTATCTGTCACCACATGTGACATTTTAACTCTTTCAAATCCCAGTCAGTTGTTTCTTTAGCTCCTTTTATCTTAGTAGCTGAGCTTAAAAACAATAAGTACATTGGTCTTGAGGAGTTCAACAGAGACACAATGGCACATAACTATTAAAATTTTTAATTCAGATAACAAAAATCCACAAAACACCCATCAGTGACAGAAGACGACAAGAACATCACAGTGTCTTTGGAATGATCAAGAAACTTGATGATTGTTTGTTACTGAAACAACTAATACTGTCTCTAGTGCTGCTTTTGTCCCAAGTAAATCCTAAGTCTGGTAAATGCTGTCTTCTTGTGTTCAGATTTAAGTATTCAATACAATGCTTTAAGCTAAAAGAAGTGATCTTTTTAAAATGACTTAATTGCTTTAATCCTTACACAGAAAGAATGCTTAAAACAATAAACAAATGAATGGGTCATGAACCATGGAAATGTTTGGAAAACATCTTTAAAGAATAACCCATTTTACAGATAAAAAATAAGATTGTTACCAATTTAATTATCCACATTTGTTTAAAAAAAAAAATCAAACGTTTTAAAAATATATACAAAGTATTATCAATAAACATGAACAGAGTGAAGCATTTAATGGAATACATTCCATGGGACCTGAAACCAGTATGTGTCAGGTGACCCATGTCATGATCTCTATCACTGAGGTTTACAGGAAAACTTGACATCAACTTAACTTAAAAAAAAAAAAAGAATTTATTGTTATAAGGAGATCCCCTAAATGCCATTTTAAGATACTTTATTCATATCCTGGCCTATTAGACAGTAGGCAGGAACACACTGAACCAATGAAATTTAACTATGCTTTTCCAGCACAGGTCACTGCAGACGGCCATAATTAGTTGACTCTTAACGACACGCTAGTTAGGGAGTCAATGCGTCCATTCTTGTTTTCCCCACAATGGGGCTCCAGAACCCACACAGGGAACAAGGTGTATATATTTAGCCATGTTATGAGAAGAAGGAA